AAAAATTGTTATGACAATCTTTTTAATATCAGTAGAGCTTGAGCTACTTCTCATTTATCATCTAAGATCATGATTCATGCCCATCCATTTTTTCCTAGGTTTTCCTAGGTTTAAATGCTGTTAGCTGCATTTGATTTGAGGGGGGAAAACCTATAGAGGTAGCCCTCTCGCGCCTAATCTCCACAACTAGCTTATACATTACATGTATTATTTGGAAAAAAAGGATAAATATATAGATAAAAATTATCACACTCATCAATAAGTGGTTGGTTCAATTGGTTAAAGTTCGTTTTTATCGATGAAGAAATCTTGGTTCAAATCATGTCAGTGATCACTTGTTGGGATCATCTTGAATGTACAACCTGCAGTCACTGTCTTAAGCTATCAAATAAGATATATCTTATCCTGATATGAGGAACTGAATAATTTATTTACTCCAAATTTTTCTTACCAAAAAAAAAATTATCACATTCGAAGAATAGATATTAATACATAATGAAATATTCCTGACTAAAACTATTTTATTTTAGCTGTCAATTACATTATATATATATATATATTTATATCGTCCTCAGATATTTTGGTACTAGATTTGTGTAAAACTTTATTAGACGGATACCTTGAATTAATTTTCAATACCTACCGAAGGCAATGTTGTCATTTGTACTAATAATTGATATCATGGTAGAAGGTAGCGTTGCAATAAGTCCGTTATATTTATATGCTAGCTACCATTGATTCCTTATTATATAAGGATGCTGCTTCTTGCAATTTGATTCTAAGAGAAAGAAATTGTTTTAAAAATTTTTTTAGTTTCCTATTTCTACCTTCTTTCTTTTCTTTTCTTTTTCTTTTTTCTTTTTCTAACAAATTCTACGTTTACAGGTACCCAACTTACAGTCCTGAACCTCTTTCTCTTCAATTCCTGAAGAATAATTCAGCTCAAAATTAAGACATAATAATGATAAGTTGTGTTTGTTCAAATATTAAGCAAATAGTTCAGCCAATAATGTTTGGTAAGAATGTTATTGAATGGGCATGCAGGTTCTTTACAATCCACAAATTCAGCTGCCACAATACTATCATCAACTGTATGGATCATCGTCTACCACAATGGGGTCTCCATAATATTATGGCTATTCTTTGTAAGCTCCCAGGGGAACGTTTCCTGCACCCCAGGCTCAGCATATCCCCTGACCGTCCTATCTTTACTACCCTACTCAGATGGAGGGGTCCTTCTCCACCTGTCCTCCCCCACCCTTTCATCTCACTAGGCATTTTTTGGCCTCTTCCACAGGTAAATAATTCTTATCAGTCTCTAATGCTTCCATTTTTTAACTACCATTGTATCCCAACATAAATTAGGCTTCACATATATGATACTGAATTATCTACTTTTCCAATGCTATATGTAAATGATATGAACTCTTAATATCGCTTTGTTGTTTTTGTACATTGAGATATGAGGAATTCGAATCCAACCCTTCTGAGTAAAAAAATTCACCAGTTATCGACCTAAATGCTGGAGTGCTTTTAATATCAATTCTTAATAAGTAGTAATTTTCTCTCTTCTTCCTCTGATTTTCATATACACATTCTGACACAGATACTAAATAGTATTAGGGTTTATTGTAGCTTGCGCCAAAGGGGAGGGGGGCCACATGAGCAACTTCAAACATGTGAATGAACGATGTCTGGTTATTGCCACAACCCAAATGATGACTCAATGGAAAGTCATGATAGAGAAGCAAATTGTAAGCTAATAGTGACTGCATGTGGTTTCAGTATCAAGGATGATGGTTGATTCTGAATCTGATCATGCAGTCAAGTGATCGAATGCGGAGAGGCCCACTAACCATGCATGCTATGACTGCCACTGTATTAACCATTTCTTAACCATATCTTTTATTCTTATATGAATATGAAAAGGTTTAACCAAAATTTAGTAGCAAAGCTAATATTCAGACATCCTTTTGACAGATCAAACCTTTTTTATTTATATTCGGGGCAAATATCTCTCTTGGAATATGACATATAAATAAAGAATGACTTTACAACTCTATATAGTTAAGTAATTTGAGGCAGAAAAATAGCCGAAAAATTGTCCTGAAATTCCAATTAAGTTTAACAACACTAACCCAAATTATCATCATTTAATATGCTGAGATATCGGTCTTTCTGTACCAATGGTCGGTAAAACGGTAACTCTTTCTATGGTAGTTTCATGGTTATTGGTTTTCCAAATTTACGATGCCCCCGGTCCAATATGATGTATAAAGACTTATCATGGAAGCTAGGCAAGCAGAGTGGCCCTGTTTCTTAGTGAAACATCACTTGCTGGGCATTGTTTTTGTAACTATGGAAATATATATACATTTTAAAATTAGACTTCATCTCTCTCATTAGATTGTTGTTTTCACTTTTCACATCTATGCTCATCATAAATTTTATTATGGATTTTGGTGTCAGATTCTCAGACCCCACAGCATACCTCCACAGAAACTGAAGCTGGGGCCATCACTTTTGAAAGTCCAAAAACCTAAAGGGAAGAACTTATCCCTGCCAAAATGTTCAAATTGTACAATCTTGATAAGTTTATGTTTTTCTTATCACCTTATCTTATATTCTCAACAATTTAGCAATAGGAGAGGACTGCATCAAGTTACTGCTATGGCCTATGAAAGGAAAAGGAGGACTAAATCAACCACCATTATGATACTAACATGGAGAAACTCCAGACATACAGTTGGTATTCATAATATATGGTTTGGTGGCTCCGTCTGAAATCACAATTGGAAATTATGTTTAATTAGCAATACATTTTCAAGATTTGAAATTGAGTTTTTGAAACAGATAGAGTGAGTTTTAATGGGAATTAATTCGTACTTGAAAACAATGGGATCAGTTATAGTTAGCAATACTAGCTCATTTACATTTATGGCTTCTTTGCATGGTGTTAATGTCCAAGAAATATAAAAGAAGATTTGTTTTACAACACTTCACAGACCCTCCATCGGTGGCATTGTTCAACAAATTTGTTCCCCTGGATCCTATCCAAATGAGGGCCAATGAAAACGTGTCCTTTTTTCATTTCTTGTTCAAGCAGAATATCTTGTTAATATAGCTTTCATAAGTCTGCAAGGCATTTCTTGTTCCATTTTTATCGATATTTCGATTGTTAGGGAAATAAAATGCCAAATATGATGGGAAAAGAGTTACCATTTGAAATTAGTTCCATAACTAGTTATACGTACTCAAAGCCAGAGTTTCAATATGTCAACAGCCTTGTGATCTTGATAAAGTACTGAACTATTAATTTTAGTAATCAAGATTTAAATCCCAATATTCTCAATTAAAAAAAAAAAGCCAGAGTTTCAATAGTAGCTATATATCCTAAGGTTACGGTAAAAAGCTAATTTCTTTGCAGGTAAACCTAACAATTTAAAATACGATACGATGATACGATATGAAAATGATATAAATAAATGATATGAAGATAACACCACTTAAAATTTTAGAAGAATTATAAATAGGTTTCATAAACTATTTTTTATATTTTCATGTCGATATAAATTGTGACATATAATTTTCGTGAAAAACATTATATGAATACAATATTTTATACGATACGATGACATGAATTGTCAAGTCTAATTAGAGATGATAGCCTATAAATTTATCAAACTAGATTTTTCACAAAATTTTCGGCTGGCCAATGTCTTAAATGGAGGTTAGTTAAAGTCTTTTAATCAACTATCTCTAATGAATTATGAGGTTCATAGTACACTGTTTCAGTTGTATATATCATTCTCTTGCGAGGACTACACACATTTTATGAAATGGGTCCAACAAAGTTTTTACTGAAAAGTCAAGAGGATGCCTTGCATATGAAGAAGTTAAGGATTCTGATAATTACTACTACTACACTAGTGTTAGTCAACTCTGCATCAGCAGCCGGATTCAGGGCATTGGTGCCTTCAAATATAATGGAAGTATATTTCAGATGAAAAGAACACGAATCACCATCTGTTATTTCAGTAGACTAATTAAACAGTAGTTATGCCAATATTATAAATTGTTCTGAATAATTGATGGCTGTAAGCACTAGGTCGAATAGAAATAGAACAATTAGCTAGATTGGAGAGATGTCGAACGAAGGGCTGAAATGGAGCACAACTAAAATGAAAAAAATGGCATCAATCAATCTTCAATATGTGGTATTTCTAAGGATTAATATGTGGTCCGGGGCTGTGTTTTTTGCATCCTAGATAACACAAGGAAAGATCAATATATATCTTCAGCAACAAATTTCCTGACCACGCATTGCCTGCCAAACGGGCCACAGCTAGTAGCTTCATGCCAAGTGGAGTTGACTAGTCATCATTGTCCAAGTAACTGTATGCATACCAGGGACATCCGTGCACACAGGAAAACCTGTTTTAAAAGTAAAGTTATATCCTAATTCACCGTCACAGTTACTTTTTTTGCATATTTTACAATTAGTTTTAATTTGAATTGAGACAATTAATGCTACTTTTACTTGAGCTGTCCTTGCGCTTGTGGATTTAGAGTTTCTCCGTTATGATGTGAATTAATTAATGTTTGTAATGTTGAATAGACATATAAATAAAGCAAGAAAAAAAGAAAAGATTTCAGAGTCATAGTCCCCAATAGTAGAAATAGAGTCATTTCATTCCTGCAAGGAATTGTCAGTCCAATATCCAACGGGGTGTTGACTACGTACTGGTGAGAGTAAACCAGACTATATAATACATTGCCATAGAATTTCAACATTCTGTAGTGCAATTATTGCTAAAGTAAGAAGCCTTGGGCCACAGAATTTAAAGTATTTCCTTTCCATCCCAAGAGTAGATAAACATAAAAAGCAGGAGATATTTATGAGCCCCTGAACAGAGGTTGTTTTCATTCAACTGCATTATTCTCCAGCCACACCCTACCTCTATTCTCATTCTCTCAACTTTTTTCTGTTACTAAAGACTTTAATTCTCACGATCACCCTGTAGAATTGGCCAAAAGCCAATTATAAAACCTCCCAAAATTCAATAAAATAAAACCACATTCTTCTTTGCAATTGTATTCTCTTGCAGCCCTTTTTGTGTCAATGGAGCCTTCAGATATTTCATATGATTCTGATCTTGTTTCTAGCACAAATCACACTGATATTGAGCCACTTGATCTTTTTCCAGGCTCAATGCGAAGTTCACTTGAGCCCATGCCATTGCTGAGCTGCTTTCTTGGCTCTACCGAGACGACAATGGATGAAAACCCTAAAGCATGCAGTGCAGATGAAGAGGATGTCAACGTGGCCTTGCAAATTGCTCTGCCTGATCCTTCCAGTAGCTCCATGATCAATCCAAACAGCAAGGAACATGCAAATGGAGCAGCTAAACAGTATTGGATCCCAACACCTGAACAAATCCTCATTGGCTTCACACATTTTTCTTGCCATGTTTGCTTTAAAACCTTCAATCGTTACAATAACCTTCAGGTGCAAATGTTATTCTTTGTGTGCGACTTACCTCTTTAATAAGAGTAAGCTCTCTAACTTCCTTCCTTCCTTCCGTTTCCTTCCACTGATATGCAATGATTTCCATGGCAGATGCACATGTGGGGACATGGTTCACAGTATCGTAAAGGACCTGAGTCCCTGAAAGGAACCCAACCGCGAGCCATGCTAGGTATTCCATGCTACTGCTGTGCCGAAGGATGCAAAAACAACATAGAACACCCCAGATCAAAGCCACTAAAAGATTTTAGGACATTGCAAACACATTATAAGAGGAAACATGGGCTGAAACCCTTCATGTGCCGCAAGTGTGGGAAGCTCTTGGCAGTGAAAGGTGACTGGAGAACTCATGAGAAAAACTGTGGCAAGCGCTGGCTTTGTGTTTGTGGCTCCGATTTCAAGCATAAGAGATCACTCAAAGACCACATCAAGGCATTTGGTTCAGGCCACGGTCCTTTACCTCCATCATTTGATGGGGTTGAGGTACCTGAGGATACTGCTTCTTCCCTCCATGTCTGAAATTTCCCTGATCAACTCCTAAAATAAATACTAGTATTTCTTTTTCACTAAATTTAGACCGGCTCTTTATTTAATTAATCAATGAATATGATGGTTGTCGAATATTAATGATCATACCCATTCGAGATTGAAACAAAAGTTTTTCAAACACAAAATGATCCCTAAATTCTAAATTTTTGTTTCTTTAGATTATTGCATGGAGCAATATTGCTTCATTTTCGGGTACCGCAATAGTGAATTGCAGGTCAATTACGAGCCTGATGCTTCCCTAGAGTTGATTTTTCAGGCTCTTGAACAAAGGATAGAGGTGAGAGGATAAAAACAACAATGTAACGATGGAAACTTATAGGCTTTGCTCGAACATTATTAGGGTATCTCCTGTTGAGTGAGAACTGAGACATCAGCTACAGACAATCATGTACAGGAATAGTGCTATGTTTGGCAAACAAAACAAGAACAATAGGATATATTGAAGTGAAAAAACATTGGATTCTTGACGTAACAAAGCATCATGAAGTGCAAGGAATTCTCTGCCCCTGAAATGAAAACTGGCAAAACATGTTGTGGTCATATGTGTGCGGCTGCTACTTTGTATGTAGCAGAAGTGGGTCTAGGATATATTATGTATTGCTCGGCCAAACATTGAAAATCAACATTACGCTCAATCCTAGTTCTGGGGCAACAGTATAATAACTTAAACTAGTTTCGTATGAGGTAAAATGTAAAGTACATCCGGAGAATTACTGTGATAGAACCAACAAAATTCTCAATCAAAAGTCATGTACATAAATCTATGGCAAATATATGTTTCAAAGGTATTTATCATTGGAATTTTGACTCATCATATAATATTCTTTTATTGAAAATACAAAATTTTGAAGATGAAGACATTTAACTTTCTGTTTCTTTCTTATAGTCTTAAAAATATCTCAAATAAATAGTCAAAATTATTATCTGTATACCGAGTATAAGACAAAATAATTCAGTAAAAAGAAAAGGTTTCAATTCACCCTTACCAATTTATTTTCAGAATGAATGGAAAAGTTATCATTGGCACTGCATGGGTATGAAATCTAAGAAAATAGTATTATGTAAACATTAATAACTGATTAATCTATTAAAGTTTAAAAAAGGCCAAAAAAAATCTATTAAAGTTTAAACTTAGGGTAAATAATTAATAAGTAGAACAACTAAGCTCTGCACCACCCTGAGCAACGAGGTAAGGTTTTTTCTTTTCATACTTGATATGCAACATGCATGGTCGCAAAGGTTTGAGACTGAAAGAACTTGACAACTTTATAGTAGAACCTATAATATTTATATTTATATTATTTATTAGTAAATTTAAAATTTAATTTAATTAGTTCATATAATTATCTTTAAAATATATTATTTAATAAGTTTGAGATTCTAGTTTTAGTATTTCCAATTTCTTCTCTAATTTTTAATTTTTGTATTGCAACTTTGTTTTGTTAAAAAAAAAAAAAAAGCCATTGTGTGACTAACACTTGATTCTTGACTTTGGCATTCTTAAAAAAGTTTATATTTGACATAATGTTGTTGTTTAGATTTTATACATTATTAATGAATCAGATAATAACAACTCATTAATGAATAAATATTAATTCTTAAAATTAATGTATATAAATTAAAATAACTTACCATTAATGATGTATTATAATATAATTTATTTTATTAATGAATTGTCATTATCTGATTCACTGATAGTATATAAATTGATAATATATCAAATATAAATTTTTTTTAAAATAATAAAAAAAAAAACTTACCGGTTAGTATTTTGAGATAAAAAATTCAACAAACTTGCCATGTGGCCTTTTAAAATAGAAAAAAAAAAAAAAGAACAATAAAAAGTGCTTGTCACATGGGATATATTTAAGATAAAAAAAAATCAAAATACAGAAAACTATATTTAACACAAACAAAATGAGGTAATGTGATACTGTGATTGGATGTTGTTTCAAAAAATTGGGAGGATATCCCCTTCCCTTCAAAAGTAAAATATTTTTTTTAAGAAAATAAAATGCTTTTAAGTCACGTGATTTCTTGTTTTCTTTATTAGTAAAGAGATATCGAAAATTTGAATTTGAAGCTTTAAGCTAACGTTAATGGCGATATATATTTCAATAAAAAAATTTTTTTGATGGTTTTTGTTAAAGCATGAAAGACATGTTAATTGTTTTTCAATCATATTTTTAACTTTCTGAGAGCTGCTTGCAAAACCACACAATCAACATAAAAATCTATTTTCGTTAATAAGAAAAAAAATTTTCCTTCAATTTTCTCTACACAATGGAAGATTGAAAAGGGAGAAAGTTTAACCAAAAAAATCCTTAATTCCCCATGTAATTCTCTTTTCTAATTAAATACTTAATTTATTGATACATATTTTCGAGGGTCTTTAAACTTTAACTTTGCTTATTAATGAAATTTCCATTTATGATGGACTGATAGCGTATAAGATTTTAATATACAATACTGAGTTAAATATAAATTTTTTGGTTTTTTTTTAACAATTTTACTTTGACTTAATCTCTTGGAGATGGCAAAACTTGGTTTTATCATTTGGTCTAGATTTTTGTAAGATGACCCATTGTGATTGGTGGTGGCCTCATCTGCCATCCTTTTCGGCCCTATAGCTTTCTTCTTCATTGCTTTGCCCTTTTCTCCTTCCATTAACTCTCTAACAAGAGTCTCAACTTCATCCCTTTTAACATCACTGTTAATTTCTATGCCGATTCCCCATTCAGTGCAAGAGAACCAACAATTTGTTTGTTGCTCAGCTAAAAATGGCCAACATATCATTGGAACACCACCGGATATACTTTCAATCGTAGAATTCCATCCTCTTTGGGTTGAGAATCCTCCAACAGAAGGGTGGCTCAGAACTTGATCTTGTGAGCACCAACTTGCCAGCAAACCCCTGTCTTTGGTCTCTGTCACAAATTCTGGTGGTGGAATTGTAGAGTCGCCACCTACTAAATCAGGCCTGATAACCCACAAAAATGTTTGGTTGCTATTAGCCTATCCCCAAGCGAATCCAATAAGCTGATCGGGTGTCATGACAGTGATGCTTCCAAAATTCACGTAAAGAGAGTTGGGTTCTTTTGAGTCTAGCCATTGAAGGCACTCCATGTCTTCCCTCCATAGATTTGACTAATGTTGTTTTAAATCGTTATCATGGATCTGATGATTCAATTGAAGATGCAGGGGACCTAGGGGTAAATAGGAGGTAGCATTGAGGAGAGTTCAGATAAAACTTCATGCTCTAAGTCATCAAATGCATTTAAAATTATTGCAGAGGCCTTTCGAGCTCTTTCGGTTTCTCTGAGAAGGAAATCTAGCATGAAGAAATCCGGGTCAGTTGTCCTGATAAAGGTAGGCAAATCCTTCAAGCGGATACCTTTCATGGCTAGTCTCCAAGTACCCGTTCGTTAAATCACTTTCATCTGCAGATAAAAGAAACTATAACATTAATAATTAACATATTAGATTAAGCAGTTCCACTAAAAGAAACAAAAAGTAAGAATAACTAAAAGGAATCTTACGTTTGAGAGGAATATAGCCCTTTTCCATCTGTCGGTGATAGTAGCCATAACCCAAGTAGCCACATGCGCTTGTAGTCCAAAAGAGAACTTGAGGGACACCAAGTTCTTCAGCTGTATCATGAGTGAAGTGTTAGGAATAATGACCGAAATTCCTTATGAGATTTATTTCGGATTTATTAAATATTATTTGATAGATAAGAAGATTTATAAAAACAAAATTTTAAGAGAAATAAGATTTTTAATAAGTAAATTTAACTTGCAAAAAAAGAATTTTAAAAAGAAAAAAATTTTTAATAGGCAAGTTTGTATAGTTGTAAATAGGTGAAATTTTTACAAGGTTAAATATGAGAAAAAGATGTAAGAGAGTTATAGAGTTTTGTGATATAGACTATCGCAAAGGTTTTGTGTCCGCCCGACGAATTGGGAAACGAAATAAAAAAATAAAAGAGTCGCCACCAATCTTTTTTTTGGCTAGGTGCGATTGGCCACTTATTAAAACATATCCTTTTAATGAAATCTTAAAATTAATTAAAAAGATAATTTTACGGTCTACAAAACAGTCTGGGTTCGGGAGTCGGTTACGCGTGGGGAATGATTAGCACCCCTACAACGCCCGTTAAAAATGATATCAATTAACAACGTGTTATCCTTTGATTTTGATACAAACAGTCTTATTTTCAATATTCTAAAAATAATTTCCTTGATTTTTATTTTAAAAAAAATTATTCTCGAGAAAAATAAATCAAAACCTTTTTATTGAAATAATTCTTAAAATGTTCCAATACGTTGGTAACATTAAAAGAACTCTCTCTCACCTAGAGATTTCTTAAAGCATCTCTACTCAAAATACTTTTAGAATCTCATCTTTGGAGGCTCGAATTTATTTTTTGTAAGAAAATATCATGTTAAAAAAAAATTTATTCTCGAGAAAAAAATAAATTAAAACTTTTTTATTGAAATAATTCTTAAAATATTTCAGTACATTGGTAACAGTAAAAGAACTTTTTCTCACCTAGAGATTTCTTAAAGCATCTCTACTCGGAATACTTTTAGAATCTCATCTTTGGGAGGTCTAAATTTACTTTTCGTAAAAAAAAAATGTCATATATGCAATGCAAATAATAACATGTTGATGCACACATTTTATTTTTTTTCAAAAATTTTATTAATTGTTTTATTAATTTTTAATTTTAATTGAAATTTTGAAAAAAAAAAAGGAATTTAATCATATTGAAGATTTTCTATAAATATTCCAATACGCTGGTAATATTTTACAAAAAAATCTTCTCACCTAGAGATTTCTTAAAGCATCTCTACTCGGAATACTTTTAGAATCCCATCATTGGATTAAATTTCTTTTCTTCTTATTTTTATTACTTATATTTTTAATTTATTAATCAATTTTTATTTATTATTAAAAAATTTTTTTTTAC